AGTAATACATCTACTACCAATACTCCACCAACATAAGTATAGTAATACATCTACTACCAATACTCCACCAACATATGTATAGTAATACATCTACTACCAATACTCCACCAACATATGTATAGTAATACATCTACTACCAATACACCACCACCATATGTAATAGTAAAATATATACATCTACTACCAGTACACCACCATCTTACCTTGCAATCAAGCCTGGAGGTTTGTATGCAACCACTATTGTCAGTCTTGATACAACAACCGGTTTTTGATTCTTCCTCTCTCTCCCGTTCAAGAGCACGCACAAGAAGTTTGTCGTTTCTCATACATGGTGCAAACTTTGCTCCAAGATGAATTAATGCTTCCTACAATATGACATGGATATATTTCAATATGAAATGAGCACAAGAATCAATCACTTGAAAACATCTTTACCAGCAATACCTGGCCACAATTTTAGGTTTATTTATTGCCCTCAAGAATGATGTAACATTTAAATGGTATTATTTTTAACTGATTATTTGATTCAACAGAAAAGTTAGATGATTGAATGGTAAATTGATGGAATGATATAATAAATCAAATATTCAATGATAAAATAAATGAATGAGATCCTAAAAAAAGGACACAAAATAGTCAATCTTTAACCATATACAAGCATAATGAATAAAACATATAAAAACTTACCTGATTTGGACCAATCCAGAAATTGTCTTGGTCATACGTTTTCAAGTATTCAGGGACTAGAGTTCCTTGTCGACTTTTGCGAACCTATATAGAAAAATGTTGGAGCTCTTTTGATTGGTTGATCTTTTTATTGAAACAACAAAAACAAAAATCAAAATTCAGGGGCATCAATCACTTAAATGCTGGTCATATGGTTCTCCATAATACTGATTTGATCCATTCAGCCATGAATCAGTTGAGGTAATATTACTAATTCAGTTGTTCTCCAAGTCAATTACATTGTTTCAATGTATTTATTGTACAAAAGACTTGTAAAAATATTTGTGTACTCACTATTTTAGCTCTTTCTGTTTTGGTGAATCCAATTGGAGCAAAGTTATAAACAGACAGTGTCACAATAAGTACTACTACTTGGACAAAGGACACCCAGTATGTGAAGAATGGCCTGCAAAACATGGTATAAAGCTGAATGTTTTGGCACTGTTTGTATTGGCAGAAACCGCTTCATGTCCGCTTCCATTTACCTGTGATCACTGAGACTCTCAAGCTGTTTTCTTACAGTACTTGGAAGTCGCTTTTTTGAAACGCTTCTGTTTAACCATCTCCCAACTAAACCTTTACCATACTCTCGCCGATTAGCATTAACTGCTGGAGGTGTTTTAGCCATTCTCTTACCTCGTATGCTAACCTGTGGTCCAGCTGCCTTGGGACCCCTGAAAGTCAAAGTTAGTGTTTATTGTGAGAGGATAACACATTATAGTGAATCTTGAACACATAGATAAACTCAATAAATCACATCACATTCCCTTTAATTATACTTTGGAAACACAACACTCAGTCCAGAGAGCTTTCTTGAGTGAGTGAAAACAACAAAGAGAAAACACTCAATATTTTCAACTACATCCAACATAAAACTTGTTGAAGAAAAACATGAGTGAAGACTACTAACAAGGGTTGAATAATGCCTTCTTCAGGAATCTTCAACTCTCTTGTGGTGCAATCAAAATAACATTAATAAAAGAGCAAAGGTGTTTGAGGCAAATACAATCACGTACATTGTACACACAACTTACATAAAGACAGCGTATGTATTCTAATCATGATGACAAATAGCAATTTATTAAACAGTAAACATAGTTCATTGTTCATATTTAAACACAATGAAAAGTAAGTACCAACATACTGCCAGCCATACTCACAGCCATTGCTGGGGAGCACGATCAGTTTCATCATGAGGTGTCAGTGGCTGCATTTCCTCATCGATAGGTTCTTTTTCTTCTTCTTCTTCAACACCAACATCTTTGTCTTCAGGTATAGGAGGCAAGGAAATTTCTTTTTTTGCTAATTTGGCTCTTTCTGATATAAAGTCAAAGAAAACTTCATCATCTACTTTACTTGAAGCCTAGGATAAATCAGAATATTGCCATAATAAAGTTAATTATTGAAGACAAAAAACATTACCATTTAATAGAGAAAGGATAGAAGAAAAAAGAATTAAGCAACAAGGAAAAAAAAAGGAAAAAAGAAAGTATGAAAGAATATTGTCCTGGTTACCATTGGCTCAGCAAATGGACTGTCAACTTGATCGCCCTCTTCTAGTTCTTCCTCTGCAAACATAGCTGGACAGAAACTCCTGCCTTCTTCATGAACACAAGATACAGGTGGAACCTTGGATACTTCAGAAACCTTGAAAGAAAATATCATGCCATTTGTGATTTCTGGCCTTTTAATTAATTGAACTGTAACAATATTGTGTTATAATAGTGGTGAAAACCTACCAAAGTACCAGCTTTGGCTTTCATTTTCAACCCTTTCCAAGCCATCTTGGCAACTGACTGTCTTCTGCTTTTGGTGCGTACAAGTGTAGGGTCATACATGGAGCTTGCTGTACTATGCAAACTTGATTCACTGGGAAGACGGACATTTTTTTTCTTAGCAGCATCAACTGCATCTTGTACCACATCAGCAAATCCTCCATATCGTTTGCCATAGTGCCTTATTTTTCTTTGTGTCCATTTTCTTTCAAGTTGGCTCTGCTCTTCTTCATCTTCACAAAGTCCAAAAAACTGCTCTGTACTCTTTACAATTTTCCTATAAAAATAAAAGGAAATACTCAAACAGGGAATTCATAATTTTTATTTAATTTTTTGAAATTTGGAATCACAATGTTTACATGTCGTCATTAAATTTTTACTCATAAGAAACTTTTATAGTTATCTATTTATTAACTATACACAATATACTTGAAATAATTATCCAACACTTGTACATTGCACATATTCAATATACCAATCAACTTGAAGACAAACATTAAAAGCATGTAAAAGTACTAACCAAAAAGTGCAATAAATTTATAATAGAAAACAAAGGAATTTGGAAAAATTCAAGACAATTGTTTGGCACATGTAAGTTACTAAAGTTTTTATGGTTTGTGTTTTTGTCAAAAATCAATATCATTCTGTTAATTCAATGATTAAATAAAAATTCATAAAATTAAATCATGATTCTATAACACTATAATAATTAATCAATATTAATGATCTTATCAATGCAAAATGAATGATAACTTAATTATTTTTTTTTCAAAAGTAAAATATATATTACTATCAATATATATTACTATAYATACAGCCTTTTGCAAAAATTATGAGAATTGTTGAAATATCTAAATATCATAATATCGAGTGCATGATGGGTAATCCCGCGCGATGCCCTTAGTCCCTTGTCTTTGTAGTTTAGTTGTTTTTTTTTTTGGCGACGGACTTATCCGTAGTTCTGAACATTTTCTTGATGTCAACAATGAATTATTCTAGCAAACCTGCATGCAATTTAGACAATTCTCATAATTTTTGCAAAGGGCTGTATATATTATTATTATTATTATTATTATTATATATATATATATTACTATTTTTTCAAAGTAAAATATATATTACACATTACAGCAATGGATGTTTTCCTTCCTAATTTATTATAGATATTGCCAAATTACTAAGCTGAACAAATTAACCTTGAAATAATTTACAAGAAATTATAGATTATGGCATATCTATCCTCTACACTATTAAAAACAAGATTCCTACAATGATAAGAATGCTTAGTTTAAAATCCTTAATGTGGCTGTTATCAGATATGAAGTCTTTAGGTATGGAGACAAAATATTGACATTTACCATGTATATTTACTATGTAAAATGGATTAAACAGGGAAAATACCAATATATTGTTACAGTAAATAGACAAAAACAATTTCTTAGCTATTTCATGTCTACTGATCATTGAAATGTTCACCTTTGATCCAYCTTTAAGGGAAAAGCCTTGCTTTGTTTGAATCATGCAACAAAAAGACCATCCCTTGCAAAATTTCAATGATTTTGTCATTAATTATTCAATATGTCTGCCAAAAATGGCATTAATGACTTTGACAGCATTTCAGGTTCTTTTAGAGACTGAGTATATTGTATGGTAGTGATGCAGAATCAACATAAACTCAACATAACAATAATATAGCAAGTAACTGAGCACACATTGATCAGTACTATGACCTTTGGAATTTTATAACAATTTTGGTGTTTTTTTTTATGTCAAAAGTTGATCCTGAGGACAATTCTATCTTTTGTTTTTAAAACTAGTGGCATACTGTACATTGACTATTAATTATGACCTTTGGAATTTTACCAAAGTTTGGTGTTTTCATGTTGAAAGTTGACACTTTATTGTAGGCTTGCTTACAGAAAACTCCACCCTCTCAAATCCATAACAAGGGAGATCTTTAATATAGAAAGCAGCTGTATTCTTTGAATGACTCATTGTGGTGTACTGTTTATAACTGGGGATAATAATTCAAGTAAAATGATATTCGAGTTTCATTAATTTGTGTTAAAATAAACTATACCATAACATTCTGAGTGTGTGGGTTCTAGAACATGTGTGGGTGTTTAATATGAGCTGCACTGCTTATAAAACATAAAATTATAACCACATGGGTATAATGCTGATGACATATAATTGCATTATATCTGCTGAAAGTATAAATATCCTTCATGATAAATGACTTCTTAATTAAATTATGACCTGATTATTTGAACCATCCCAGTTAAGATGGATTTTGGACACAATTTTGTATTAAAATACCAGCAATACACTTGTTCACGTATTTCTCTCTATGAGAAAACAGTAGCTCACTGCTAGCTGTACATTATGATTTTAGGTCTCAATGATTCCTGTTATTAAGCTCGTTCTTATTGATCGAAGTTATTCGTCTAGAACACAAGAAGCCAATGAAGGAAATGTTTCACTCAAAATCGCTGAGCTTGTAGAATACTCGTAGGGTATTAGCGAGTACAACATGAATATAGCTTCAATGCACCCATTTATATAATTTTATTTATATAATTATAATATTCTATTGAAAATATACCGTTACATACAAGTTTCAAAGGAATCGAGACAAAACAATCATATTATCGTCAAAATCTACAATTCAAAGCCACTTGCTTTGTTACATTTCCTACATTACTGGACCATTTTACCTTCTCAAATTTCTGCTTTCACCAGATTTCGCCAGTGATACAGGTTGAGGGACTGAGTGAGATGAGCTGAACACACTTGGCAACGAGAAAGAATCCCATGTTTCGGGCGTTTGTGGAGACAACGCCATTTTGGGTCAAATTCGAAGACGCTGTAACATGTGCATTGGCAGGTTCGTAGCAGTAAGGTGGAATTTGGAATAGACTTGTTGTGTTTATATTAACTTATAGTCATGAATTTAAGATGAGTATAACCGTTTTTACACGCAAGCTGTTACACTGTCCAGCATCGACATTTGATCCAAGCAAAATAAAATATAGCTTTCAAATCACAACATATTTTTATCTACTCTCGTTCCACTGACGAATTGTCTTGATGATATCGACAACTGTGTATTGAAAGTGATAGTCCAGAGGTTTCCTTGGTCTTTTAAATACGAACAAATAACGATTTTGATATAAATGGTTGGAATGAATTCGAACAATATCTTTTAACGACAGAATGCACGAATACCTACATGGACAAAACCGGAAGTGAATCCGCGATTTGAATTCTTTTGGAAACGATTTCCCGAAAGGCTTGTTTACATACAGACTCATTTAATATTCATAACATAAAAGAGGGTTTTTTGACTTACTTCTTAATAGTTCTGGCCCTTTCTAGCCTGCTTGAACTGCCTTTAATATCTGGAGCATTCTCTATAGCAGGGCTCAAGGAGGCGACTGATCCTGTTGGTGTCACTGCTCCCATAGGTTCGCTGGTTCTCTTTGATTTTAAACAGCTTTGAAATATTCTGAATTACACAAAAGAGTTTGTTTAAGTTGAGAGTCTTTGTTCTAATTCTAACTTATAAACGGCCAAAGTGTCGTTGTGTAGCGTTTGTTAAGAGACAAAGCACAGCTGAGTCTCGTTAATACTGAACATGTTCAATTGACCACTATTATTAATGATCATGCAAAACTCTTACATTATAGCAAACCCTTCACCGTCAATAAAACAGAGCTTCAAAGTACACTTTAGTACCTTGGATTAGTATCCTTAGATGAACCGCTTTCGTCGGTAACGTGGACTCTCGGTAGGTCTTGACTTTTCTTCCTTCGTCCACTCCATCGTGTAGGAGCACAAGTCAATCCTATAGATTCCTGTGACTCCCTGTGTTCAGTAGTTGGTTGATAAGCCCCCTGCATTGTACAAGAAGTCAAATTCCTCTACGTTTCTCTTAAATCTATGTATTTATACACATTTCTACTAGTACTGGTAAGGCAATCAAAAACTACAACAGTTTGAAGCACAAGGGTGTCGATGAAAGCCGCGAAGGACTGGCACTAGTAAAATTTGATCGATACAATATCGATGCTTATGATCAGTTTGTCAACAAGTTCGTCGTCTGGTTGGCACCTGAATAACAAAGGCTTACGCCTCATGAAGTATCGCTATATTTTGACAAACAAAGTTTCTTCACTGGTGATAACTGGGGGCTGCATCAGATACCTTCTTCCTGTTAGATGGGATTGGCGGCGGTTACACTACTAGTCGTTTCATAGAGTGAAGTAAAAAAAAAAACAGTGGAATATAGATATTACACCAATACACCTTGGCACGCTTTTTGTCTCTAACAGTAGGATTTTGTTTCACAGGTTTAATGGCCTCACTACAGACACATGTTTTAGTAGTCCCTAACATACGGTTTTGTGTCAAACTATTTAGTTTTAAATCCTTCAGTTCTGCCACCCTATATCACATCAAGGCCTTAAAGTTTACAGCCCAGTTAATTGACCCTCAGTAATGAAAATCTAGTTTGTACCAACCAAATCCAGTACTGTTACTTTTGCAAATCAAATACCTGCAAGTTCACTTGAACAATGGAATGACTAACAAAGTTGTGACTACAGTCAACTCTCTCCTAATATAAGCGACCACCTTGGTATCAGGAAAAAGTGGTTATTTACGAGAGATGACCGCTTACGAGAATTTTTTTTACAGATTCTATATGGGAAATAACTATAAAGGGAAATTTAAGAGGTCGTCCCTTATGGGATATCGTCACTTACTAGAGTGGTCGTTCAAAGAGTCACTGCACCAGAATAGTCTAAGTAACAAGGAGCAATAGCAGGGTTCCCACTCATCTTTAAAAGTAAAATTCCCATCTTTCCCCTGACCAAAAACCCTTTTTCAATGACGAGGTGAGGAGATTATCATAGGACCTGTTATTGAACAATGCAAAGGCTCTATCAAAGATAACTGTTATCGGTAACGAAATCAGTTTTTTTGCAAAAACTAGGAAAAATTTTACTTTTTGATAAATTGTATGTTTCCCTGACCAAAATCAAAATTCCCTGACAATTCCCTGACCTTGAAAAAAATTCAGATTTCACCGACTTTTCCCTGACCGTGGGAGCCCTGAATAGCCAATTGAACACATTTCATCTACAAAATTGTACCAAATCTGCAACATAAGCAGAATATGCTTTCCAAAATTGAGCATAAAAAAGGTACATGCTCAGTGTTCCTAGCCTGTGTTACATCCGGAATTTCTGTTGGAAATTAGACAGAAATTCCGGATGTAACACAGGCTAAGTGTTCCCGACTCCGTTACGATCACTGAACGTCTGAAAGTCTTGAATTGGTTTTCAGAATTCCTGTATAACTGAATTTCTATTTTACATGTAATACATCAAATTGTACAAATTCAAATTGAGACAAATTTGTACTAAATCTTTTTTAACTCCACCCTTACATCAGCAACTATAACTGAACCTTTTTACAATATGAATGGTAAACACAAGAAAATCAACAAACTCAAAGTTAGAATGATTTATTGAATACTTTGTTTAGTATTTAACAGGTTCACTAGGAACAGATTTCTGACCATGGTTCTTAGCCAAGTAGTCTGTGAACTCTTGGTAAGGGGTCTTGGTGAACTCAGTTTCTTTCCACATGTCTGGAGTAAGGTAGCAATAAGTTTTTGATATAGCCTGGAAAGTGGCTTTGGCTGAAACACATTAAAAAAAAGAATGAGCTATTCCATTACATTGTATGCTACACTTAGAATTGACTTACCAAAGTTTCCAAGGGTAGCTGTTTGTCCTCTGGTTGAAGTATAACAATCCTCAATACCAGCCATCTGAAGTAATTTTTTAGGCACCGGAGCAGAAACAATACCAGTTCCTCTGGGGGCTGGGATCAGTCGTACAACAGAAGAACCACATTTACCAGTAACTTTGCAGGGGACAGTGTGAGGAAGACCAATTTTGTTACCCCAGTAACCACGCCTAACAGGAATGACCGACAGCTTAGCCAAAATGATAGCACCACGGATTGCTGTTGCTACTTCTTTGGAGCATTTTACACCAAGTCCAACATGACCACTGTAGTCTCCAATAGCAACAAATGCTTTGAATCTTGTTCGCTGACCAGCTCTAGTCTGTTTTTGGACAGGCATGATCTTTAAGACTTCATCCTTTAGAGCAGCTCCAAGGAAAAAGTCAATGATCTCAAATTCCTAGAGAAAACAGTCTACATCAAACACACAAAAATAAACAATGGTGCAATCACTGTACAAATGTCAGAGTGCATCGTCCTGATTGCCACAAGAAGACAGCCAAGATAGCGACACTAATTGTTGATCTCTGCAGATCATCAATCCAATCATGCTAATTTGTTTGTGCATGTTGGAGCAATATATGAATCTGCAGTGCATAATATCAAGTATTGCTATACCTTGATGGGAAGAGAGAACAAGTAGATCTGTTCAAGATTCTTTATCTTCAGATCCTTGACAAGACGTCCAAGTTTGGTTACTGGCACCCACTGAAATAAACGTTACAAAGTCATGATTATATTTTAATCATTCAATAATTCATTGTGGTATGCAACATAATCTAAATACAATAAACTCTTCAAAGACCTGGGTTTCCTATGATAGAACCGTGCTTGAAAAGGCTTCTCTGAGTCATTCTCCACAGATCAACGATACTGTGCAACCCCAAAAAAGCCTCTCGTGATATGAATTTGATGTCAACCTTTTCAAGCCTTGAAGGTAGCAGTTGTTGCAATCAAGCAGTGGTACAGACAATATATAAAATTCGAGAAAAAAAAATAAAGGAATTTGAATTCAACGTTGTTACAATTATACTATGGACGCGACACCAAAAACTTTTCACTTTTTATTCCTTTGTGTATTTCCGATATATAGAGTTTGTCGTGTTGACATACCTCCTTATCCTCGGCCTTCCCACGACCTCTTCCTCGTCCACGTCCGCGTCCCCTACCTCTTCCACGGCCTCTACCACCGAATCCACCACGAAAATCCCCGCGTCCACCGGCTGGTTCTGAATCCGCCATTGCTAAAGTAATAATTAAAAAAAGCTTGAACCTATGGGAGACTTACAAGAAGCAAGCCATGTGAAGCACACAATCACTAGAGAGATTGTATTGAAATGGTAAATTTAACAGAATTTTCCATATAATATTGCTTCTACTGGACACGGGAAACATCTAAATGCACTTCTGCCTGATTTTAGCGGTTCTAAAATGAAGGATGGCAAAGATTTAAGTTGATTTTAACGGAGTAATCAGTGCAAAAACTTACGTGGTTTGTCGTTCACGAAAAGAAGACCCTATCGAAGGCCGCAAAGCCTTTTGGATGTTGATCGCGAAGACTGGGATCACACAGGAATCCCGAAGAAAACGAAAATATATTGTAATAAAAGTAGAAAAAATGAATATTTAGAACATTATTATTTAAGAAAAGCATTTCAGCCTGATAATACAGTAATAGTGGCCTTTTATTTCTACAGCCTATAACAAGCAGTTCCTTGCTAGGGGTTACAACAAATATACAAACTATGTCACAAACTATCTCTTGAAATGTTTTTTTGAGGGGGCTATCTACTAGTAATGCAATATAGAGTGACTGTAATCGTTGATTACATGGAATGACATTGTGCCTAGAGGCAGTTTCCTCAGAAATAACAGAGTAGTAAACAAATTGCCTCATGCTAGTTATTAGCCTCCGTAGCAGACGTTCTTAGCGGTTCGATTCGACTTTGCTGGGGAGAGAATCGAAACCCTTAAAGAATGTCTGCTACAGAGGCTAGCTAGTTATTGATTACACCACGAGGTAGTGCAATAAGCAACTACGGAGGTGCATATCTCTGATACATTAAAAGTACTGTGTGGACAGCGATTATTTCTATTATAGTCTTTCAATTTTGTATTATTATAATTGTTATAATACTATAATACTAAACAACTAAAATGGTTATAAATATATAAAACATGTGTATGGAAATGATTTTCCTCTTGCCTGGAATAGCTAAAGCTCATTAGTGGCCCATTAGTGGGAGATGGGAGGAAATGGAGAACCTTGTCCATATGTTTCTTTTGTCGTGTCTCCCAAAGGATACCTTATTGATAATGATAGCAGCAGGAAAATCATCACCTGCTTTCATTCAATCTATAAATTACTTGCCTAAACCAATAGTTAGGCAATCACAAATATATAGGGTATTCTATAGAGTATTTCTTGTACATGATCTTGTAAACTGGAACATTGCATTGGTCTATTATTAGCCATAAATAAATACATCCTTACAGCTTGAATTGGGGTTAGAGCGGTTTTCGTATGACTGTGCAAAAGTATGAATCACAACATAGAAACCGCGCGGCACGGACACGGAACCTTGCCTTCTAGGATTTCAAAGGAAAGCAAAGATTTTGCAATGCATCAAGGCTACGGCACGATACGGACACAGCACGAACGTACCGTGTTTGTTTGCACAGTCAAACGAAATCCGCTCTAAATGTCATGTCAGTGATCTGTATGGTAATTGCACATTCCTGTCTTTATTTAACTTAGCATTGAATAATCTAAGTTAATGTTTTTGACGTCATAAGCAAACTAAACTCACTGAATAATGTGACAATAAGAACCAACTATACAATACAAAATCTTAGAAGTCAAGGGGTGTGTGCAGGGGACGGTCCCAGGGGTACCAGAACCCCCCTTCCTTGGAAGATGAAGTCTTTGAAATATGAGTAGGGTAACACCTTTTTTGGACATTTGAATAGTTTTTCTTTGTGAATACAAAACTACTAAATAAATACTTGTGCAACCCCCTGCATGAAACCCCTGCAAAGGCCAATCATTAGATATGACAATATTTCTTTTACTGTTGTTTCCTTATTTTCACATTACTCAATATTAATTTTGTTTTCACTTATTATTATGGTGTGCAAAATCTTTTTAATTTTTTCAGTCCAGATCTTCCCCTTCTGGCATAGTGATTCCTGGCATAGAGATTCCTTGCAATAGCATGTCATCTTCATCACCAAATAAAGACTGCATTAAATCACCTATAAAATAAATCATACAATCATATAATGATTACAAAGGCCCCCAAGCAATATTGAGGTTTATTCATGCTCATACATTTTCAAGTCACTTGATGCTACCAATTTTGTCTGGATGTGGAGTTTCAAAATGCTTATTACATGATTGAACCACTTGTCTTTGTTCTTTGTAGGGCTTAATCTCTAATATCACCCTATCTTTTGATAATTAGTCTGTGGGATTTGAACCCGAGCCCTTCTGCACTACCGCCTTATATCGCTATACCACTTAGTTAACCGATAAACTGATTAACAAGATGTCTAGAATTGAAAGATTCCCTTTTGGGAATTCAGTAACTGCAATGGTCATATTGTTTGGTATTTTTTCTGTTCTGTAGACACTCCTGTTGTATGTGGCAGATTGCTCCCCATTCTCTGTATTTATCTTTTCCTTGTAATACGATGTATGTTATTTTATACTTCAATATTTACATTTACATGTACATTAAATGTACATGACTGTTGTTCTCACTACATTTTGACGTCATCTGTGTATCTATTAGAGTACACACGCACGGAAAAATGAGATCTATCTGTTTTATACAACAAACAATTAGTTTTGATGTAATCCGTGTATCTACTTTGATAACACACGAAAGCCAACCAATCAAAACGTCTGATTTTACTGAAAAGTTGTATAAAGTAAATTAAATAATGCAATATAATATACTTTGCCAAATCAACCATGACAACACATTTAGTGGAAAAGGCAATTGCAGCAGATTGCTGGATTGCTGCTCTAGGAAATCACGATCAGGTGTGGTCTCCCCAGCACATATAATGATGTGAACTTAGTTGGTCTAAGGTGAAAAGATAACTTACCCATAAGGCCCTGCATGCCAGTGGGTTTTGGTGGTGGGAGACCAAAGAAAAGCTGGGCTATCCGGTCAAGGTACTATAATGAACCAAGCAGTCAAAGCAAAATGAATACACAATATCTATTAGTCCAACAACATTGAACAACAACTGGTTAGTTCAATCCTTCTTTGACCTGCTCAAGGACTTGTGAATACACTATACCACCTTAGCAACATTGCAATTACTGTACCACAGTTAGAATTGCTGTAATTTTAACAATAATATCAGGAAAAATGACCAAAGAGGTTCAAAC